CCCGCCAGCCCGCACACTCACCATCCGGGGCCCCGGCCGCCGCCATGATGATTGTGTACAACACCCGCCGCGCCGCAGAGGCCGCCGGGAAAAGGCGAGCTGGCGGAGATTGGCCCCCGCAGCAGCCCCTAACCTCGCACAGCCCGGCCGGAAACAGGCGGGGGTTTCTATGGAGACCCGCCTCCTCCGCTTCCCCGGCCCGGCCCCTGCCACGCTTCAGCTTCGGGCAGCCGAGCGGGGCGGGCCCGGGCACTCGCCCGCCCACCGGCTCTGCCCCCTGGAGGCCGAGCGGGGCCGCGGCCGTGCAGGGGGCGTGGGTTCGCGGGCTGGGCGGCCTGCACCTTTAAGGGGCGGGGTTGCGCCCGCTGTGGCGGGAGCGGATTGGCTGGGAGGGGTCCCCGGAAGTGATGCTCGAGGAGCCCACGTGGTCGAGTCCACCCCACATGGCGGCGCTCCTGAGGCGGCTGCTGCGGCCGGGCAGGCCCCTGGCGGCCTTGGGCCGCTCGTTGGGACGGCGCGAGGCCAGCCTAGGCATTGACCCCGGGGCTGCGGTGCGAGTGCGGTTCGCTCCCAGCCCCACAGGTAACCTTGGCGGACGTGACGCTGCAGGCCGAGGCCCACTGTCGCGTGCCCGCCCCCCGAACGCGCTTGAACGAACCCCTTCCGGTGGAGTCAGACTAGGCGGGCAGTGCGACCCCATTTTACAGAGCCCACGAGCGGAAATTACTCGCATTGCCAGGAGTTCCTTGGTGTTCATTAGGCCGTACCGTCTCTTTCGGTCTTTTTCACGTGTTCGGTAAATGTGTGCGAAGTAGAAACTGCCAGGCACTGCTCCGCTGGCGTACAGTGGTCACCGAGAAAGTGGGGCCCTGGCTCTTGAGCCTACACGTAGTGACCGCGACAAGCACATATAAAAATACTGGCAGTCACGGGTGCCATGCGGGAAATGAAGCTGCACAGGTGACCCGGGTTAGGTAGGATGCTCAGGAAGGCCTTGCTGACATTTGAGCAGAGACCGAAATGACAGCGAGCTCCGTGAAGCCCACAGGAGGAGCCTTTTGGGCAGAGGAATCTGGGGAGGCACAGGCCCTGTGGTTGGTGTTGGAGCTTAGCACCAACAAAGTGGGGCAGGGGCCCAGTGTATACCCTGGTGGGATCTTGTCAGGAACCCCACTAGTTCCCACAATTCTGTTGTTACCGAGGCTACTCTCTGCCTTCTCCACAAGGATCAGGCCTCTCATTCTGGTCCCTGGTGTCTGTATAAGGATACCTTTGTGGCATGGTTGCAGCCACCCAGAGTGACAGGATCTTCCTCGGCAGGCAATATACTGTAGAGAGTGCTTCTCAGACCATCCATGGTAAAAGGATGGATTTCTAATTTGCAATCGATTATGAACCAATACTTTTATAAAATCAACAAGTGAATTACTAGGAAGATGAAAACCTTAAAAGCATACAAAATATGAACCTTTTTATTAAACAGAAAATGATTGTCAGATTGCTGTGAGTTTCTAAACATTTTCACACTCAGTTTCTGTACTTACTTGGTTGTGAACTAGCAACAGTTTGCAGACTAGTACCTGTCTGCAGTTCGCATTGAGGAGCAAGCCCTGGGATTGTCTGGGTCCAAATTTTTGGCTTCTTAATTTGTCCAAGTCACACCTTTCTTAGATGTATGACTTGGGCAAATTACTTAACCCCTTCTTAGCCTCTGAGTTTTACCATCTGTCAAACAGGGCTAGTGATAGTACCTGTTTCATGGGTTTGAGCTGATGTAGCTGAAGCACTTAGCAAAGTCTGGTACTTACAGAAAGCACTTCATAAACAGTAACTTCTACTATGATTATAATTCGTGTTTCCTTGCTGATTTGCAGGAAAAGGCCATGTAGGAAAGGCGGTGGACTATAGACAGAGGAAACAATAAGCAACATAGATCATTACAATAGCTAAAATTAATTGAAAGGTGTACTTTGGTCAGCATTTAGGCCTCCCAGCAACCCTTTAAGGAGGGTTTCAAATATCTGTTTTTGATCCCTCTAAGAGATGAGGACATTGAAACTCACAAAAGTAGAGTGCCCAAGGGATAGCGACTAGTAAATGGTGGATGCAGAATTTGAATTCAGGTCCATTTGATGTAAAAAGCCTCGCTTTCAACTCCTGGACCCCTTGTCTTCTATCTTGGGGACCACTGGTTTTATGGTGGCCTTGCAATAACTAGGGTCACACATATTGAGTCTGCCTGACCCATCAGAGCTTTTCCTGTCCTGTGCTCCCTTCGGTACCTGGAGATGCAGCTGAGCTCATTGTGGAGACAGGGCTGTGGGCTGGACCAAAGAAGGAAGGGGAAGCGGAAGTGACAGCCCTGGGAAAACTTCGTTTTAAGTTTTCAGTCGGGAATGATTTACAAGTAAAATCTTAGGAGTTTAAATTTGGCCGAGGAGAAGTATCATGAATCAAATGTTGCTTTTGGTCAGTGTTTAAAGTCAGCATTGAAGGTAAAAATCTCGAGTAGATAAAATCCAAAGTGTAGGATGAGGTTAGTCATGACAGTGCATAGAAGCTATAGGCAAAATGTCACTTTACAGCGTTTTTAATTTGTAATTAATTTTTTTTGCCCAAGTGCATCTGTATAAGTTATATGCACGTGTGATAACTTCAGTGAATGATCCTCTGCTTCTCCTCTGGGTGACACTTGGCCTCGAGGCAAATCTCAAAGTAGAATGATGGGTGCAGCTCGAGCCTTTTTACGAAGTGACATGCTCCCCAGTGGAACACCACCCCTGTCCTCTGTGGTGGTCTGACTGGGTGCTGGCTGGACAGTTGCGACAGGGCTGGGGGTAGCCGTTTCTTGGGCTTCGATAATCGTTGGGACATTCTGTCGCAAGCTTGCTGCTCGGCTGGAACCCGTCAGCTCACGTCCCATCTTGTGTCCCATCAGGCTTCTTGCACCTGGGCGGCCTCCGCACTGCCCTGTACAACTACATCTTTGCCAAGAAGCATGGAGGTAGCTTCATTTTGCGGCTGGAGGACACGGACCAGACCCGCCTTGTGCCTGGGGCAGCGGAGAATATTGAGGACATGCTGGAGTGGGCAGGTGAGGCTGGCAGGGAAGGGACCCTGCTCCACGGAGGGAAGAGGGAACAGGAAGGGAGCCTGGATGGAGAACTCCTAGAGACATGGGTACATTTGTGCCATCCAGGGTGGCAGGTGCCACCTGAAAAGATGGTGAAGCTCCTGGAAGTAAACCTCCAGGGCTGTTTTGAGATTTTTCTTGTTCCCTTCATGGGAACGCTGGGCCAGCTGGTGAGCTCTTCTGATTTCCCAGCAGGGCCAGGCTCTGGGTTTTCGTTGTTATCATTGTTTTTTAGTGACTGTTTCCCTGTTAAAATCTAAGCTCAGATTTGGGGTACTTTTGTTGTTTTTAACCACGTTGCATGAGCCGACGAAACTTCAGCCCCCGAAGTCCGCCTCCTCGTGGGCGGTCCGGCCCTGAGCACAGCCAGGCTCAGGAGGACAAGGAGGAGTGCAGTGCAGCCTCTAGGCCCACAGTTGCCTACCTGCCGGACAGGTATGACTAGTTACGCGCCCCAAGAGAAAATACCAAGACTATTTTGAGATGTGTATTTTATCTCAGGTAAACTATTAACTGAACTCTGGGTTCGTAAAGGGCAGAAGCCGATTTCCTTACTGGCTTCTGTTGTTGGAGGCTGTAGCAGGTTCCCAGTCAAGGTTAGCCAGGTAAAGGCATTCACTCATAAAGGTCACGTCCTGTGGCCCACGCAGTGTTCCAGCTCTGTGCTCAGTGGGTCGGGGCAGGAGGCAAACTGCTGAAGGCATGCTCTTCACGACGCTGAGTGACACTCAGTGCTGCCGAGGAAAGGGCGGGCTCGGAGCCCGGGGGTGCTGCTTTTGGATACGGTGGCCTTCACTGCAGAGGTGACATGAGAGCAGAGACTTGCAGGAAGTCAGGGGCCAGCCCTGTTTTTTCCTTGCGGGGAGACTGTGCAGAGCAGCAGGAACAGCAGGTGCACAGGCCCCGTGGAACCTAACTGCTGGTCACCCAACTGCTGTGCGTACCAGCGGAGCAGCAAGGAGGCTGGTGCGGCCCACGCCCAGTGAGCAGAGCAGTCACTGGAGAGGCGGGGCCAGCCAGTTTGGCAGGAGGTGGATCGTGAACACCGAGAGGCCCCGGTGAGAACTTTGGTTGCCTGTAGACACCCTCCCGGTCACGAGGGATGCGGCGAGGCACCTGGAGCCCCTCGTGCAGCGTGGCTGCTGAGCTGCCCACCCCGGCATTTGTGGGGGCGGAGGGCAGGTACCCAGGCACCCCAACGCAGCTGACTCTAGAGCTTCTCGCTTCGGGAGTCACTCTTTTTTTTTAATTAACATAATTCACATAATATTAAATCCATCATTTCATAGTGTATAACTCAGTAGATTCGGGTACATTCGCTGTGGTGTGCAGCCATCACATTACCCTATTCCAGGTGTTTCCATCAGCCCAAACGACACCAACTCCCGTACCTATCAGCAGTCAGTCACTCCCTCCTCCTCCCCCTCCAGCCCCCTGGCAACCGCTCATCTTTCTATCCCGTGGTCTGCCTGTTTTGGACGCTCCTATAAGTGGACGCTCCTATAATGCGCTATGTGTCATTTCGTGACTGGCCTTTGTTTAGCATGGGGTTCGTCTGTGTTGTACCGGGTACCAGTGCTTCACTCCTTTTTACGACCGGATTCTAGTCATCACGTGGCAGTGCCACGTCCTGCTTCTGCGTTTATCCATTGATGGGCATTTGGGTTCTCACTTTAACTGTTGTGAGTGAAATTCCCGTGAACATTTCCGCACCAGCCTCTTCGTCAACGTGGGTTTCAGTCCCCCAACCGGAGTCACACTTAAACCCCGGGGCATTCATGGGGCGAACACGGCAAATTAGGGGGAAGGGACTCCCCAGGGCACCTAGAATGTCCTCTCTTCTGAAGAGCGCAGAAACAGGGGGTTCGGGGTGGGGGGCTAAACAACCCTGATGGCAGTGCGGGCCCAGCCGACGGCGCCCCACACACACCTAGCAGCGCCGACATCCAGCTCTCCCATGTCCCCTCTGCCCTCTCCCGGAAGTGTTTGCGCTTAAATCTGTCCTTTGTGGCCTGGAGAAGCTGGGCCTTGGCTTGGGCCCGTCACGGGCATGCGTGGGCCTTTAGTCCTCAGCCCCCTGCCCAGCAGCCTGTTCGTACCACTTTGTGGAGGGGGAAACTGAGGCTTGGAAAGGCGCAGGACTGCAAAGAGGCAGTACAGTGAGTGGGTCAGGACATGGACTCGAGGTCAGCCACCGGGCCATGAATCTCGTCATGCCCCTCGTCCTTGGTCACACAATGACCAGGCCTCCCTGTGCCTCAGCATCCTCCTTAACGAATGGGGACAATGATTTCTACTTGGCACAATGGTTCTGAGGCTTCACGGGGGTCACAGAACAGAAACGCAGCCGGCAGGCACTAGGCACTTGGCGCTCCCACACCCAGGTGACTTGTCACGGGCAGAGCCAGGTGTCCAGGAGCACACTGCTTCTCCCGGACCCGGCCTTCGGGGCCTGGACAGTTACTTTCCCAGCGGAAGGGTGGGCGGAAGAGTGGGCGGAAGAGTGTGGACAGGGGCCGCTCTGCTCCGCCCAAGCTCTGTCCACCAGGCCACGTGGCCTGGGGCCCTGGCCTCTGCTTTAGCTTTTCACCCGTGGAAAGGAAGCAGTGGCGGTGCCGAGCTCGGGGCTGCTGGGAGGACCGGAGGGTAGTGTGCTGGGGAACCAGCTCCATGAGCACCCTGGTCACTGTGTGGGGACTGTTCTCTATCTGTGCCCCAGGCATCCCGCCTGACGAGAGCCCGCGCCGGGGAGGCCCTGCTGGGCCCTACCTGCAGTCCCAGCGGCTGGAGCTGTACGCCCAGGCCGCAGATGCGCTGCTGCGGACGGGCGCCGCTTACCACTGCTTCTGCTCCCCGCAGCGGCTGGAGCTGCTGAAGAAGGAGGCCCTGAGGAGCCGGCAGACGCCCCGGTGAGAGCCCCAGCCTGCCACGGCGCTCCCCCGGCCGCGCACGCCCCCGCGCTGTGCCGCAAAGCAGGTTACCCCACAATTTAGACCGCACAGTTTCTGGGGGTCAGGAGTCTGGGCACGGCTCACCTGGACCTTTGGCTCAGGGTTTCGCACGATGCTGCAGTCAAGGTCCAGGCCAGAGTGCTGTCACCTCAAGGCTCTGCTCAGCCAGGATCCGCCTCCGCTTCCCCAAGAGGCTGTCAGCAGCGCTCCGGGCCTCACCGGCTGCTGCCAGGCACGTCTGTTCCTCAGCACGTGGGCTTCTCCGTGGCAGCTGGCTTTCCCAGAGTGGGCCGGGGAGAAAGCAAGAGGGTGAGACGCAGCCAGAGTCCCTGCGGGACCTAATCGGGGAAGCGGGGACGTCACCAGGACCAGCACACACTGGGGTGACACAAGGGCAAGAACACCAAGAGGCGGGGGTCACTGCGCCAGGTCAGAGCCGCCTGCCGCGTCAGGTTGCAGGCAGTGACTCGTAAGGTGATTCTGTTATTTTAATAAGTAAAATTTTTTCATGTGTGCGGGGAGCTCTCCCAGCCCTGACTCTGGCTACTTGGTCCTCTCCCCAGAGACAAGTGGCGTTAGAGCTGGTTCATGTCTCCCAGAGACACTGTGTGCACGCTGACAAGTGCACGTGCTTCCTCCTCTCCCCCATTCACACGGTAGCGCACGGCACACGTACTGGGCAACTTCCTGTCCCGAGGGTCGGTCCCCATCAGTCCACAGTGTTTTCTCAGCTCGCGTAGTGTTGCCCTGCCGTGTGGGGGTGTCGTCGTCACGCACTCAGTCCCGTACCAAGGATCCCCGATGTCACTTCTGATCTTGTAATAAAACCAGTGGGGACTGACATGGATGTCCCTCATTTTGCACACGTGCGGGGTGTGGGGACCTGCCAAGATGTGGCCGTGTGGGGTCACGTGGCTGCGAGAGGGGGCCCCAGCTTGCGCCGCCGTCAGCGGCGGCATCGTGACCCGAGTTCCGGTCTCCGTGACTGTTAGACGAGGTCACTGCATTTGCTGCGGCGTTGTCCTTTCATCGTAAACAGCGTCCTCGCGCCCTGTCGGGCTGCGCTTTGCGCCAGGGTCATCGATTATCAGACGTAGGCGGGGCTCCTGCCCGTCACGGTGCTCTTACCCCGGGCCGCTCTGCTCCCCAACAGCTATGACAATCGGTGCCGGGACCTGAGCCCGAGGCAGGTGGCCGAGAAGCTGGCCAAGCACCCCAAGCCCGCTGTCCGCTTCCGGCTGGAGGAGGAGGCGCCAGCCTTCCAGGACCTGGTGTACGGCTGGAATCGGCACGAGGTGGCCAGTGTGGAGGGGGACCCGGTCATCCTGAAGAGCGATGGCTTCCCCACGTACCACCTGGCCTGCGTGGTGGACGACCACCACATGGGCGTCAGCCATGTGCTGCGGGGCTCGGAATGGCTGGTGTCCACCTCTAAGCACCTGCTCCTCTACCGGGCCCTGGGTTGGCAGCCGCCGCGCTTCGCCCACCTGCCGCTGCTGCTCAACAGAGATGGCAGCAAGCTGTCCAAGAGGCAGGGCGACATTTTCCTGGAGCGCTTTGCCGCCGCCGGCTTCCTGCCGGGCGCCTTGCTTGACATCATCACCCACTGCGGCTCGGGGTTCGCAGGTAGGTACCCCCACCTGCGAGGAGCCGGACCTTCGGCTCGGGCCCACCCGGCCCCCAGTCTCGCCGTGCCGCCCACTGCGGCGGGAACCAGCACGAGCTGGTTCTTTCACCCTACGGACATTTATTAAGCCAGATGCTGCTGAGCGCTGCGGCCACTGCAGATGAGATGGACGTAGCCCCTGCCCCCTAAGAGCATACGGTCCTGAACCTCAGCTGCTCCTCTGTGAAACGGGGCTACGTGTCCACCTCGGGCCTATGTGAGGGTCCAGTGAGCTCGTGAGTGTAAGGCACCCAGCAAAGCGGGCTCGAAACTCACAGCTCCCAGGGTTATTGCGGTGACGTCACCACTAGGACAAGTCCATCCGCTGACAGAATCACTGGTGTTTCCACGACACCAGTTCATTCCAAGCTGAGCCCAGATCTTAGAGAGGCACTGAATAGGGTGACCTCTGGAAGAATTTCTCAAATGTGACAGTAATAGTCTGCTTATCATTCATTCTGCTCGCATTTAATCCTTAGGAGACCCTCGAGAGGTATTTATCATCTCTGTAAGAGGGTTGCAAGGCTCAGAGGGGTGGAGTAGGTAGCCAGCGTCACCCAGCTAGTTAGGGACGGAGCAAGAACAACCCCAGGACAGTCGCAGTCCACCCTGCTGTCCTTGGAGTCACCTGGGAAGCTTGTGCCCTACGCCTTGTGCCCTGTGTGCAGTGCTCAGGCCCCACCCAGACCCCTGGGGTCGGGGTGCCCGGGCACAGCCGGGTGGTGAGCACGTCTGCGGGCAGCGAGGCTGGGTTTAGCCTGTCATCAGACTTTTTTCCTTAATGACAGAATTTTTTTCTGCAATTGAAAGCTCACTTGGGCCCTTGATGTGTAAAGTAGCTAGAAGTGAAACCTTAGGTCAGGTTGGGGTGGGGAACCCAGAGAGTGCCCGCTCAGCCTCCCTTGGGGTTGAAAGTGGGGGTGGGGCAGAGGTGAAGGAGGGAAGGAGGGAGCAAGCTGAGGGGCTGGGCCTCCCTCCATCACAGAGAACCAGATGGGCAGGACCTTGCCAGAGCTGATCGCGCAGTTTGACCTGACCCGGATCACCAGCCACTCTGCCCTGCTAGACCTGGAGAAGCTCCCGGAGTTCAACAGGTGCGTGGGGAGCCTGGGGAGCCTGGCGGGGGAGGGCCCTCTTGCTGAGGATCGATCCATGGCAAAGGGTCCTGTGCACTCTGGAGCCGCGCATACCTGGTACTGGCCATGGTTCCAGGCGTCTAGTGCCCACAGGTCAGTCACTTGAGGTCTTCAAGCTGCTGCTTCCCCTCCTCTAAACGGGGCTAATCACAGGACCCTCCCGCCCCTGCCCCGTGCCACGTTGTGAGAGTTGGACTGAATTAGATGCGCCGTCTCGGTACTTGGCACAGCCTGGCACTCAAAGAGCTGTCAGCGATGGGCACGCTCTGTCATGACGGCACGCCTGGCCACCCCTCGCATGGCCTCTGCCGACCACCCACGCCTGGCGGAGATCGTCGCCACTTCAGAACCCCCGACACATGCCTGCCAACACCAGACGGGCACCGTTCATGGCATCGGTCCCATGTTCCCAGTGGTTCTTTCCCCTGAACCCTCCAAACACAGTTACTATCAGGTCACTGTGGACAGGCCCCGGCCTCAGGGCCTGGGCGGTAGACCAGCAGACTGGCTGGTACTCGGGGGACAGGACCCGCTGATGCCCCTCCTGAGCGCTGGTTTGGGGATGGGGTCTCCCGGGTGCTTCTTGGTGGGCCCAGGGACTCACGTCAGCGGCAGGTGTTCAGGGCTGCCACTTCATCTATGTCCGTCAGACCCGTGAGGTCAGCTGAGTGATTTTGCCCCGTTGTGCACACGAGCCGAGGTGCAGAGAAGTCACGTGGCCAGCCCCGGTTCACGGAGCAGACGGGCAGCTCTCGAATGGGGCGTTCGAGAGCGAAGGCAACACACGTGCTGACTGAGACGCATCCACTTGTCTTCCTCGAAGCCACCGCTACGACCATTCCGGTCACAGCAGCGAGGTTAGCAGCAATGATTGTCATGGCGGCGGCAGTCCTAGTGTCTGGAAGCAGTGACGGTGACTGAGGGTCACGCAGCACTTGTGTGTCCCAGGTACTAACCTACGCGTGGGATCGCAAGCAGGGACAGAGGGTCATCGGTTTTTCTCTCCCTGCTGCCACCTCTTGCCGGGACCAGTCTCAACACCAACTTCACGCGCTTTTCCTTAATTCCTGTAAAAACCATGGCGTGTTTTGGCCACCCCGCTGACACACTGACACACTGCAGCCTTCGTTCAGACCCCCGCCTGTCTCCAGCTGCTGGCCTATGCTCAGTGCTCACAGCGCCCTGTCAGGGAGGCCCGCCGTCATCCCCACGTTACAGGTGACCATCCTGAGCTCCCAGTGGTCATGTGAATTGCTGAGAACGCCTGGGGGGCTGGCCTCACTTGCAGGCCTGTCCAGTTCCAAGGGCCCGTGGGATGTCCCCACCCTGGGCCGCCTGCCTTCTGTGCCGGGGACCAGGTTCAGGTACCTGCAGGGCGGTCCTCAGCCCGCCACATCTCACGCTTTCCCCCTCAAGTCCCTCTACTCGAGGCAGCCTAGGGGACCAAGGACTGACGGGGCTTAGCCGCAGGGTTGGACCTGCTTCTGAAGGAAGAAACCAGGCAGTTGGGAGAATTCTGGAAGGCAGATAATTGGAGTCGACGAGAACCTGAACTTTTCCACAGGGAGCACTATATTCATGCAGCTCCACCCTCCAGTTGTCATATGGCCCGGAATCTTAGAGACCCGTGTCCTCGGCCTCCGCCCTTTGTGCCAGAGCTCCCACCTCAAACTGCGAGGAAGCTTGCAGTCAGCTTCCACTTCGTAAACGGGTGCCTGCAGGGGCCAGGCAGACGGCCCGGGTGACACATGGGTCAGAGGGACTACAGATGAGTGAACTCTTGGTCTAAATGGGGCCGCCTCCACTGCACTCGTGCTAGCTGAAGTCTGGGCAGTGGGGGCCTTTTGCAGCCAGAAGTCTCCGTTCGTGCGTGCCCTCTTCCTAGTCTAAAACGGTACCTATGGTCTATGGCCATGCCCTGAACGTGCCAGATCTCGTCTGACTTCGGAAGCTAAACAGGGTTGGGCCTGGTTAGTACGTGGATGGGAGACCGCCTAGAAAGACCAGGTGCTTTAGGCGTTAAACAAAAAAACGGTACCTTCTGCTTTAAAAGCTCTGGACGCCTGTCTCCAGGCTACTTGGGGCTCTTAGGTCACCTGCTTCAGGCCCTGCCCAGACCCCTTTCTTTCTGTGAGTGAAAAGAGACTCTTTTGGCCTCTGCTGCAGGCTGCACCTCCGCCGACTGCTGGGTGACGCGACCCAGAGGCATCAGCTGGTGCAGAAGCTGCAGGTGCTCGTGGGCGAGGCGTTCGGGAGCCAGCGGCCGGACAGCGCTGTCCTGGACCCCGCCTACGTGGAGAGGGTCATCCTGCTGAGACAGGTGTGGAGACTGGGGTGTGGGTGGCCCCCGCTCTCCCCTTCCGGTGTGTCAGCCCTCTCCCCGGTTCATTCGGTGGCTGCCTCTTCCCCCAGGGTCACATTTGCCGCCTGCAGGACTTGGTGTCGCCAGCACACTCGTACCTGTGGACTCGCCCGGCCGTGGGGCGAGCAGAGCTGGGCGCCCTCTCAGAGAAGGTGGACGTGATCGCCAAGCGCGTGCTGGGGTGAGTCCCCATGGTCCGCGGCTCTGCACCCTTCCCTCCCGGGGCCCCTTTATCCCAGGGCTTGGCTGTTGTGCCCGCAGCACAGCCCAGTGGCCGGTGAGAGGCACTTGGTAGGGGGAGCCCCGAGGAGCTGAGGGTCCCCCGAAGAGGTGGTGTGCCCAGGCTCTGCGCTGGGACCACCTGGGCTCCATCCGGCTCCACCTCTCATCACCCCACTGTTTCACCTGCCAGACGGCTTCACCTGGGCCGAGTCATGGCACCTCTTTGAGTTTCTGTTTGCTCAGCTGAAAGGTGCAGCTGTGCTGGTTCTCGCTGTGAGGGAACAGCATGCTGTCGGCGACAAGGGTGGACACACAGCCGTAGAAGGGAATAACCGGTCTGCGCGATCGCGGTGGCCAGGACAGGGCTGACTGAGGCTTAATGCAGGAGCCAAAAAATATATCACCTAGACCTAATTTCTCTCTGCATCCCTTTGACTGTGTGCCCCATACTCCTCCACGCTGGCCACTCTGCAGAGGCTGCGGACGAGCAGATGGGGGGTGGGTTCTCCCCCAGGCCCAGGAGTGCACTGCTCCTTACCACCCGGCCCGGAGCGGGCAGTTCAGGGCGAGCGGCTTCTCTCCATGTCACCGCCATCCCTGGGTTTTGCTCTTGTCCGCGTGGTCCGCAGCGGCTCTTGGGCCAGCCATGATTCAGCCAGAGGTGGAAGGGGGCAAGGGGAGGAGGACAAAGTGTTCCTCGCCCCTAAGGACCCGGCTTAAAAGTTACTCCGTTTCCACCTGTACGCGCTGGCCAGAACACCTGTCTGGTGGCCACACTGAGCTGCAAGGGAGTCTGGAAGGTGCGGTCTTAGCTGCCATGTCTGTGTGGGGATTGATTTTAGAGGCACTCCGGGCCGGAAAGCTGACACGCAAACCATCAGAAGCCGCCAGGTCACTCACACCACGGCCTGGGCCACGCTCTGGGCCAGCTCCCACGTGTCCTGAGCTGCCATTGTTGGCTGCCTGGGATCTATCCCTCTTCACCGGCTCCTTGCTGGGCTGCTTCCCCACCCCTGACACAGAAGTGGGTCTGTTTTTCCCCACGTGACATTTTATGTTATCAGTGCTTTATTTCTCCCATGTTGTAACGAGTAATCATGGGGCCCAGTTAATGACACAGTGAGTTACTTTTGTCTCGAGTTGGGACTCAGCTGCTTAAGCCTAGGGTTAGCAAGGAAGCCTGCACTCCCAGGCACACTAGCCAGCAGCTCTGCTCACCGCTGGCCTCTGGTGTGGGGCTGTCCAGACCCGTCCTGAGCCGGCGGGGTCAGAGCAGGCATGGCGGGCCGTCCGTCCGCAGCAGTGATGAGCTCTAGCCTCAGTCCCTCTTCAGGGTGGGCACACGTACCCCCGCTGCGCTCTGCTCTTGTCCTGTGTCAGAATCAGGCTGGGAGGACGTTTTTATAAGTCTAGCTTTAACAGAACAGTGAGGTCTCAGCTGGATGGCCGGGACAGTGGGTGGTGGCCGCTGGCCTGCTGGACCTCAGCCCCAAAGAGCTTCAAACTAGGCAGACGGCAGTCGCAGCAAGTTGGCGGCAGGGCCCTTCCTGGGGTGAGGGTCTCCTGAGCTCTCTCTTCCTGCCCCTCTGAGCTGCGTCCCCGTGCCCCGGTCCTGGAGCTGCTTCGCACTGTCCCAGAGGGCTTCATCCGTCCGCTCTACGTCTAACTCGACCCCAGGTTTCTCTTTAGGCCCTCATGCAACGTGTCTGAGCTCATGGGTGTCATAGGCGTTGGCTAATAGTTAACTTTTTATTGGAGTGTGAGTTCTGGCACTGCTGAGAACTGACCACCCGTTCAGCCAACATGCTTAGTGCTCTGTGAGTTTTGACGTAGCCCCCCTATAGCCCTGTGAGGTGCAGACGCTGTGGTCGTCCCCACTTGACAGGTGAGCAAACCGAGGCCCGGGGACTGCGTGCGCAGAGGTGGCAGTCAGTAAACCCTCCCGTTACGGCTCCCGCCCAGCCTGCCTGTGCGATGCCCACGTGCCCGGATCCTCCATGGGTGGTCTCCCAGTGTCTTTTCTTCCCCAGCTCAGAAGGGGCGGGGAGCGGATGGTACCCCACCCCCTCCCCGGGCAGGCTTGAATGGTGGTTGCACTGTTATGTGTGTCGTAGCTGATGGATAGTCTTCTGAAGTGTCCCCTCCCACCCATGTGCCGTGGCCTTGCAGCCCCTCACAGACTGGCCTCTTCTAGGCTTTTCGAAGGACCCGCTAGGAGCTTAACTCAGGACAAACTGAACGCAGAGCTGAAGAAGCTGTCAGACGATCTGGAAGGCACCAAACACAGTCACGTGATGAAACTCCTCCGCGTGGCCCTCAGTGGACAGCCGGTGAGGCGGGCAGGTGGCTGGGCTGCTCCCTGCACCCCTCGTGTGTCCATCCCACTAACGTTCTCTGGCAGGCACCGAGCTCGGGCTGAGGGTTACAGAGATGAATGCAACGTGACTGCTCCCCTCTTACTCCACAAACACTACCTGCTGAGCACCTGCTGTGTGCGAGCAGTGAGCTAGGCCCAGTGGGCGCAGTAGTGACGAACACACACATGCCCCGCCCTCGTGCCTCAGGGAGCTGGCTATCGATTGGGGTGACAGACACAGCAGAGGAAGAGCAGGCCTGGGGCTCGGCCTCGGCCTCGGCCCTTAAAAACAGTGAGATGCAGACTCTGCTCCTTGGGGTGCAGATGGCTGTGTCGGGGTGGCCCGGCGAGTGACTCCTACAGGCCATGTACACTGTAGTCAACGTTTTCTCTCTTTGTAGCAAGGACCCCCTGTCGCCGAGATGATGGTGTCCTTGGGACCCAAGGAAGTGCGGGAGCGAATACGGAAGGCGCTGTCCAGCTAACAGGGCAAACGGCGGCGGAGCTGGCCCTGGGAACCTGTGCGCGTGGACGCTGCCTTTGGGACTGGGTGGCAGGTCGCCCTGGGCCGGCAAGGAGCTGGAACTAGGACCCAGAGCGGGGACAGTCTGGGCGCATGCAGGTGCACTGACACCACCGGAAGCCGGTCCCATTTCACCCCGAGTCCCGGGGGAAGGCCTGGGTCTCATCCTGGCTCTGCGCCCGCAGCCCGCAGCGGGGGTTGGGAGCCCATTCTCAGAGTGGCCCACGCAGCTCGTGTCTCGGTGTGTTCAGGCTACAGCATACTGCAGTCGGGGTCGAGGGGCCTCAAACAGCAGAAAATCATTTTCTGATTTCTGGAGGCCGGAAGCCCAACATCAAGGTGTTCGCAGGCTTTGATGCTCATGAGACCTCTCCTTGGCTTGCCAATGGCTGCTTTCTGCTGTCCTCACGGTCACCTCTCTGTATCCTTAGTACCTGTGTGCAAACGTCCTCTTTGTACGAGGGTGAGGTGGGATGGACGCCCACCCTAACGGCCCAGTTTGACCTCACTCACCTCTTTAAAGGCCCAGCTGCAAGGAGGCCCCATTCTGAGATGCCGGGGTGGGGCTGCGACCCCTGGGTTTTGAGGGAACACACCGGAGCCCGTCACATGTGGCAGCAGCCCAGACTCGTGGATTCCACTTCTCAGGCCCCCATTGGACTTGGAGCAATCGAGGGTGATCGACGAGCAGGGCGGAACTGGACGCCAGACTGCCTTTGGGGCTACGAGGAGAGGGCCCCCACCTGCCGAGGGGCAGCACACACGTCTCACACTGCTCTGTCCTTGCACTTGGGTGGCTTGTGTCTCCCTCCCCGAACACCTGTCTGTTCCTCTCTTCCAGCTCTCCAGACCGGTCCTCGGACTGGAGACCTTCACTCTGCCTGTTCTGCATCTGTTTCTTCATATCCGCCTCCTGTAAGTCAATGTCTGTGGGCTTCCGACGTGAGGTGTGCTTGGGGTGGATAGGAACGGCTCAGGTGAAGGAGGGTGGTGGCTGGCGGCCGAGACTCCTCCAGGGCTCCCAGGTCACCCCCGCCCCATGTGGCAGCCAACCTCAGATGGCCCAGCTCTCGCCCCTCTTGAAATCAGGTCGAACGGGCTGACTGCTGACACGGAGTGGCTTCCATCTTGTCCCCCGGGTCCCTCTCTGCAGGGAGCTGGCTTCCACATCACACAGACCTCAGGCAGCCCTGTGGAGATGCAGTGTGGCACCCTCTTGCCAGTGAGGCCTCCCTCATTGGCCAGGGCAGTGCCTGGCTTGGGCTCGGTCCTCTAGCCCCAGACCAGCCTTCAGGTGGCCACACCCTGGCTAGTGTCACGGGCCACCGCCACTGAGCGAAGCTGCTCGAGTGTCTGATACGCTGACTGGGAGATGACCCATGTCCACTGTTTAAAGCCACTGGCTTTGGGGTCATCGTCACCCAGCAAGAGAGCAAACACGCGCGCTCATCCGGGGCCAGAAGGGGACTCAGGAACTTGTCACGCTTTGTGGAGACCTCATCTTTGCTTTAACGGTGTATTGGTTGAAGCTCTTTGCTCGCACGGTGGGAAGCCAGGCCGCCTGCGTACCTGTGTGGAGACTGTGGCCTCCTGGACGGTCTGATTTCGTAGGAGTCTTAGTCTGTGGGAGAGCCAGAGGCCTGACGGGAAGCCAGAGACCAGGGCTGGAGAAGATGGGCCTGGGACCCGGGGCCCCGGCTGTGCCGGCAGCAGGGACGGGCGGAAGTCCGCAGGAAGGAAGTGCGCCTGTTCCCCGTGGCTGCTCCCTGTCCGCGTTCTCCCCTCGGTGCCGCATGACTGGGCCGAAGGTTCTCGAGGAAGAGCAGAGTCTGGTGGCCTGATTGAGGTCACGTGGCCATTCCTCCCCAGGCGTAGGGGGTCCCTCGGGGTGATAGCCAGTGGAGGAAAAGTCGTTCCCAAGGAAATCGAGAGTGCTTTTTCCAGGAAAAGGGATGGTGGAGATGGGGACACAGAATAGTACCCGTGGTTTACGGTGCGTTTACGTGAGGCACGGCCATGTCTGGGGTGCAAGTCTCGCTGGCAGACACTTTAGCCCATTGTCACATTGGGTCTTCACAACCCCATGAGAGAGATGTCGTCGTCGTCGTCGTCGTCGTCATCATCATCGTCTCTATGTTATAACAGGGAGACTGAGGTTCAGGAAAGCTAATGAGCTCTTCTGAGGCAAAGCGAGGATTTAAACTCAGACCTAATGCAGTCCAGGGTCCAAGCTCAGCTTTCAACTCCTGGGTGGCGTCAGAGCCCGCGCCCCTAGTGTGCGGGACAGTTGCGAGAAGCTGGCTCGGGCCGGGGAGTGTGATGCTCACGCACAGCGCGGTCGAGATCCGGAGCTGTCACTGCCTCAGGTGGCGCGACGCGTCTGAAAAGCAGCGTGCACCTTCCACACTTTTTATTTGTTTGTCTGTTTTTTAAAGAAAAACCACACTTAAAATACGCACACGTCCATCCCCCGGCAGATCTGAGACCAGAGTGTGGCGACAAGGGCCATGGGAACCAGCCCTGCCGTTTACTGTGTGGCTTCCGAGCCTCCGTCTCCCCGTCTGTAAAATGGGGATAACATTTGTACCCGTCTCAAAGAACCGTGAGGATGGAAATGGATACGTATAAAGTTCGTAAAACAGAGCCCGGCACTTGACGAATGTTATCTGGCTCCACTGCTTCCGCCACGGCAGCTCATTCTTCGAAATGGGGATCTTGCTTGTAAGGCGTGGACACACACCCAGGCAGACGATGAAGGGGCTTCACTGGGGGGATTCGGATTCTCGCGGATCCAAAGGGCAGGGCTTCCAGCTGACGTCACGGGAGACAGGCACCTGTCCCTGGGAGCCGTCGGGGCCCGAGGTGCTCCCCTTCGCCCCGCAGACCTCCCCCTCCAACACGTGTCTCTCTCTGTCTGCTTTCCTTCCTCTTTCTCTTTCTCTCTACAGCCCTCCAGCTGAGCCATCTCTTCTCCTGCCATCCACTTAAATAGCTAGAATTCCACGTCCAACCTCCCAGGCGAGGATCCGATTGGCCCAGCCTGGGTCAGCCGTCTGCCCTTGGTCCAGTCACCTGGCCGGGGTCCAGTCCTGTAATGAGATCGTGACGGCAGGGAACTCACTCTCAGGAGTGTACTCCGGGCGTGCTCTTCCCGGTGCAGTTACAGAGCGTCCTTTCTAGGAGACGACCACTCTTCCATGGCAAATTTGGAGACTCATTCACACAGCCCTTGGCCTACCTTACTGTTTGCTCCTTGTTACCACCGCATCAAATTCTGTGGTGTATTTGCGCATGGTTACTGTATCTTTAACGAGTATAAGATTAAAAGATTGGCAGAAGGTTTGTCTTACTCTTGGCGATTACCATAGCAGCTGGCACATGTCCTGACACAGTAGAGAGAGTCTAGTAAATATCTCGCTACAAAGGGAACGAGGGCTCCCGTCAGTCAGGTCGGCTTCTTCAGACATGGCAATCGCCAGCCGGTGCAACAGATTCCAGCAGTTTCCCAGTTTCGGTCATCGACTCTGAGAAGTCTCATCTCTTTTGCATGATTTGCAACTGTGGTCAGCAGTCTGGTCTGTTGCCTGTTATTTGCATCGAATCCAGCTATCTGCAGAGAGCGATCTTTGAGTGAAGGATGGCGATAGGTAGAATTTTTCAATATAGAGGAATGTATAGTGGGGACCAAAATTAGCAGTTGTTTGTTGGTCGGATTGTCTTACGATAAAACAGCTACCTCCCCAGGGACAAGATAATAAATATTCAGAAAATGAGGACCCTCTAGTGACACCTGTCTAGGGGTGTCAGAGGGCTTCACATACGAAGCGACCCTTGGCGTGGGTTCTGAGGGATGAGTAGGAGTTTCCCAGCCCTAGGGGAGTTGGACGGACACTCCAAGCAGGGGGATGAAGACGAGAACTTCGCAAAGTTGGACGTGACTGGAGCCGTGGGTAGCAGTTGGAGGAGTGAGACGGGGCGGAGAAGCCAGACAGAGAAGTCCAAACAGCCTTTCTCTGTGGATTAAAAGCATCGAAGTGCCATCTGATGCAAATAACAAAACTTAGATTCAGACCGGCTTCAACGGGAAGATGCAGTGTCCCACCTAACAGGAAGCGTGGGGGAAGGCAGGCTCTAGGGTTGGTTAAGCATTTGGTGAGGTCGCTGAGGACCCGGGCTCTTCCCATTTCTCTGTCTGCTGGCCCCAGGTCTGGTTCCCCCTGCTCGGAACTGGCTGCCGAGAGTCCCAGGCCGTCTGCACTTCCTCCCTGTCTGCGGGGAGACCGAGTGGTTTCCTGTGGCTCTCCCTGAAAGCAGGGGAACTTTTCTCCAAACTCCCTCGCCCACTTGACTTCCCCATTCTTGAACCCATCACTGCCGGGAAGTGAGCGGGGGTCCCCACAGATCAGTCAGACCCAGTGCTGCGGCTGGGGTGGGGTCGGTGAGCTGTGGGTACCCGAACAAAGTGGGGGTTCAGTTAGTGAAGATAAGTGTGGTGTGTTCGTGAGGTGGGAGGTGAGAAGCCACTGATGTGCTTTAAGCAGGGAAGTGACATGATCACATTGGTGTCTTTTTAAAGGGTCATTCTGGCAGCTATGCCAAAGAGATCGGAGTAGGGCCGACCGAGGCGCATGGAGACCTGGTAGGAGATGGCTGGAAGGGAAGCGTGGAGGAGGCTGGTGTCACAATGAAGCCATATTTCCTTGTCACGGCCTGACCCTGTCTTTCCAGCTGCAGTTCACCCGTTCCTGCCACACACAGGATGCTCTCGTCCGCTTGCTCTTCTCCCCCCATGCCTGGTCACCTCCTTTTTAGCCTCCAGATCTCAGCTCCATTGTCACCTCCTCAAGGAAGCCTCCCAGGACTCCTTCCTGTCATTTATCACCGGCACCCTATGCTTTTCAATAGATTGAAACCTATTGTGTAAATAATTGTGTAAGTAATCAGTTTTGCAGTCACTCGTTAGTGTCAGATTGTAAAGTCCACGAGAACAGGGGCCTGAGTTGTCATGGTCACCAGTGCCTCTAGTCCCTAATGAACACTGAGTGAAAGACCGGACACGCATCTGATTGGATGGGATGGCCAGGATGTGTCTTGAGTGCACAGGTGCTGGCTCTGCTAAAGTCACCGTGTTTAGTTAGGATACTGTTTCAGATTGTTCAGGAACTTGCGCTTGCTGTTTTTGTTAGTGAAACGCGGGATATGAATGTTTTTAAATTTAGAAGGCTGTATAAGTTTGGTTTGGGGGATCTCCAGCTTATCCTTCACATCTGGGCAAAACGTTGGGGTCACAGTCTTTTCTCCCAGGCCTGTCTCATCAGCTCTGTCTCCTGCTACACCTCCCCCAATCCTGACTGCAGGAGGAGGGCCCAATGAAAGGAGAGACAGACCACGGGCCACATACATGACAAATGGAAAGCAGAGGGGGGTTGGGCAGGAAGGGCTGCAAGAGCACTAAAGAGGGGGCCTCGGAAGGCCTGGTGGGGCCTGGTGGGGGTGACAACATAGTTCTGTCTGAAGCCAAAGCCTGTGCACCCGAGAGCAGCCCTGAACCCCCGAGACCCTCCACACCCACTTACCCTTTAACCTTTCCGTTGTGGTCCCCAGACCAGCCATATCAGCATTGCCTGAGACTAATTAGAAAGACAGCTTCTTGGCCTCCACCCCCCCTGCCCCCCGCCGCCCCAGATCTGCTGTATCAGAAACTGGGTCGGGCCCTGTGTTCTGTGTTTGAACAAGCTCTCCAGTTGATTCCGACCAACGTTAGTTTGAAAACCACTGATCCACCTGCCAAAGTGTTAACTGTGTGGAGGTGCTGGAGAGAAGGAACGTAAGGCAGGTACAAGAACTATGAGAACAAAAAAAAAAAAAAAGGAAGTGATGGATGATACTTGGCAAAGCGACCCCGCCTGCCTGGGGGGGGGCACGGGGGCACACTGGGTATTCTCGAGCTGTGTCTTCAATTTGCAAATCCTAGGACCTTTGAATAAAACGGAGAGAAAAAAATAAAAAAAAAAAAAAAAAAAAAAAAAAAGGAAGTGATGGATGATACTTGGCAAAGCGACCCCGCCTGCCTGGGGTGGGGCACGGTGTCCGGTCACCTCCTCGTTGCACTGAAAAAACCCAGCTCCCGTGTGGTCGGATGTTTAGAATTTTCAAGAGGTAAAAGTGTTAAAGATTTTATTCAAGTCTCAGCGAAGAAACGTGAGATGAGGCACATTTATAGATCAGGAATATTGAAGTGAATATGTGAACGGAGGCAAAACTGGATTTTCCATAGAGAGAGTGTGCCCCCCCCCCCCGCAGAATTCATTTGCATGTCTCTCTAGGTAAGAATGATTCCACTGCTTTCTGTAATCCCCAGTTTAGGACGTGGAAAGTAATTCCAGAGAACCACGATCAGCTAACACAGAAGGGTGTGCTCTAGACAAAGCATAGTTTCCATTGAAATACAGAATTTCCCCAGCACGGGTAAGCCCACAGCCAGGAAAGCCAGTCCAGCCTTTGCAAACCAGAAAGTGGGTTCACACCAGTTACCCCGTCTGCAGCATCTGTATCCTGGATGTCCAGCCTCCGGAGCTACGGGAAATAATGTCAGTCGTCTGGGCCACCCACTCTGTGGTACTTTGTTAGCAGCCCAAGTTTGCTAAGATAACAACGGTAAACGGTGTTTATAGAGTAGAGGCCGACAAAGCAAGCAGGTCAGCCACTTGTCCTTCAGTGGCAGGTTCGGGGTGATTTCTGCATAGAAAGGTGCTTTGGGCACCTATCAAATGGAGACGTGCAGGGCCAGACTCCTTCTGGAGCTGAGATAGCACAGTAAACGCACTTTTTGACTTTGTGTTTTTATTTGGGGTAGGGCTGGGACCTAAAGTCCCACGGAAGCTGCCTCTTACTGCTTCCACGGTTGACTTGGCGGTTCAACGAAAACTTGTTGGTGCTAGTGTGCGGGGCACCATTCTAGGTCCTGGGATCCAGATGTGTACAGGGCAAAGCCCCTGCTTGTATTAGTGGGGTGAGACAGGTCATGGAGTGTAGGGACGAGTTTGTGCTTCAAGGGAAAATTATGCCTGGTATGGACGGCACCCTGTCCTTCCTCTTCCCAGCCTTTCGTGGTCTCAGCTGTCTCACACTCTTGTTCTGGGTAGCTTTCAGCAAGGTAAATAATTCTTACGTAGGGACATGTAAATTAAGTCTGTCGGCCAGATGGATAACCCTCACTGCTGGCAGAAAAGCTCATTTTGTGTCCACTTGCGTATCTGTTCTGACATTCTGTAGTCTGTATGAATTTGCCCTTTTTCTGACTTCTCTGGGACGGATTATAGCATTTGCTGGGTTCCCTCGCTTCATTAAAGTTGAAGAAAATATTTAACACGTGTCCGTTTCATAATGTACGAGAACCATGACTTTTCGGGGGACGGAACTCCCCTTTAACTGACAAGCAAGTAAATAGCACGCCGATGGTGTAATGTGTTACGGATAAAATAAAGCAGGAGGCGGAGGGAATGAAGCGCTGAAAGAATCAGCCCTTGTCCAAACCTCGCACTGGAGCGGTTGCGCCCTGCGTTTTCCCTGGCATGTCTGCCTGCGGAGCACCGGGGGCCGCGGGCTTCGGGAGGTTGTTGGTTTTCTGGGCTTGGCCCCGGTGACCGGGGGGCGGGGCGCGCA